AATTTGGGAAACGGCATTGGCTCAACGGCCAGCCAACCTCGTGGCTGCACCTAGGCCATGCGGGCGCGGAGTAGAATGCCAGTCTCCGTCCATTCTCCTGGTCCATCCCAACACGAAGTTCCCCGGACCATCCGTAGTTGAACTTTGAGATGGTCAAACTCCGTGCGCAAGTCAAAAGCATGACATGCTTTCCGTAAACAGAAAATCAATCGGAAAAGAGGGACCGGGGTGGCTTTTCCCATGTATCGGGAGGGGCGAAAGTTTACCGAGGCGACGGATCAACGTCGCACAAGACAAGACAATTGAGCAGAGACTGGATTCCTCATATATGTGTTCCGGGAGAGCAAGAGCATATTTATCGAGACATTGGATGACTTTTGCCGAGCCTCTGTGCGTGCAGTTAAGGTTGCCATTAAGGAAGTCATTCGCGACCGATGTCACACAATTGGCTGCCTTAACGATAACGAAGGAAATCAAAAAGGCCGAGCACCGCCCCCGGCGAATACTTGCTTGATTTTTTTACCGTAATTCAAGACCGATTAACTCATGTTTTAGAGTTGGTGAATACGCAAGGCAAAGGAGCGAAAGAATTCATGAACTTTAAGAGTGTTACAGACCTCATCTTCCTCCACGATTGTTAGGTGACACCTCAAGGCACGAGGATTCTCACGTGCACTCGGGGGCAATGCTTTTCGCGAGTAGATCGGCAGAACTTCGCAAATCTTCTGATCATCTGGGTCAAACCTCTCGGCTGGATAATTGTGAAGATCATTAATCTGACACCCGAAGCACGCCAGTCTCAATATCTCGCTTCCAGATTTGCTGACTACCAACGTTGCACTAAATGTCAGTCCAATCAAAAGTGGCAAGCACGCATATTGCCCATGAGACCAGATTTGTATAAGCAAGCGGCTCGGCACGTGGCCCATATTTGGAGTTTCGGAGCGGAAGCCGAGTATTCCAATCGGGGTTCTTGGCCTTGCGCGGCAATTTGTGCTCTAGCGAACCAGATGCCGGACGCTAACACGGGACGGCAGCCGGAACCAGAAATCTGTTCATTGCGAGCAATATATCTCTCACAATGACCTTCCCCAGCTTACCCCAAGTCTGGCGCCATGGGTCTGGTGGGGCGGTGATCATGGCCTGAAGAGGCTTCTCGGACGGAGACGTTTCTTCAAGAGCGTCTTGGCTGTGCAAGACCGTTGCAATGTGACGAGGCGCCTTTGGTTCCGTTCCTGAGATGGTGATGGAGGCTCCGTGACTAGAAGGAAATGCCATCAATTGCGACTCGGCCATGGAATCTTGAGGGTATAAAAACCACCTCAGTCGCGCTTCTTGATAGTCATGCTTTCGTCTCTGTGATGAGCCTCTTAGCCCGGTGCTAGATAAAAATTTCCCTCCTCGTTGAATCGTCTTTGGTCTCGTTGAAAATGCATTTCGCTTCAGTTCTCACTCTCCTCTCCGCGCTGGGCGCTGTCTCGGCGTCCCCTCGCTGGGGTGTTAGGGGACACCACTTCCGTCGTCAGGGCTCCGTCACCAATGACACGACAAACCCCTTTAACGGCAAGAAGCTTTATGCCAACCCCGATTGGGCCGAGAAACTCGAGCAAACCCATGACGCATTCGTAGCCAAGGGCGACAGCGAGAATGCCGGCAAGGTCCGCACGATCCAGAACATCGGCACCTTTGTCTGGGTGTCCAACACCGCCAGCCTGGTCAACATCGACACTGCCGTTGAAAGAGCTCGTGCCATCCAAAAAGAGACCGGAGAAGAGCAGATTGTCGGCCTAGTGTTGTACAATCTCCCTGATAGAGACTGCAGCGCTGGGGAGAGCGCTGGTGAGTTCAGTAGTGAAGAGAACGGATTGGAGCTCTACAAGGAGACATACATCAAGCCGTATGCCGAGAAGCTGGCTGCCGCGAGCGACTTGACATTCGCAGTAGTACTCGAGCCTGATTCTCTGGCAAACTTGGTTACGAACTTGGCTGTCGAGTTTTGTGCCAAGGCTGCACCGGTGTATGAGGAGGGTATTGCCTACGCCATCTCCAGCTTGCAGTATGACAATGTCCACCTTTACATCGATGCTGCTCACGGAGGATGGCTTGGCTGGGACGACAACCTTGCACCTTGTAAGTCACTGACCTCAATCTACACACCTTGGATTCCATTGCTAACAAAACCTCAAAGCGGCTAAGCTCTTCGCCAAGGTCGTCCACAAAGCCGGCAACGACACCAGAATCCGTGGCTTCTCGACCAACGTCTCCAACTACAACCCCTTCAACGCCAACCCGCGCGCCAACTACACTGAGTGGAGCAACTCATGGGACGAGAACCACTACGCTCTCTCCCTTGCCCCTCATCTTGAAGCCGAGGGTCTGCCGTCTCGCTTCATCATTGACCAAGGCCGTGTTTCCAACAGCAGGGAGGAGTGGGGTGAGTGGTGCAACGTCAGCCCTGCCGGCTTTGGTATGCAGCCCGGCACCCCAGTCAACAACACTCATATCGACTCCATCGTCTGGGTCAAGCCCGGTGGTGAGAGCGACGGACGCTGCGGACTTGAGGGTGCTCCGAGGGCCGGAGAGTGGTTTGACGAGTACGTTCAGATGCTCGTTGAGAACGCAGACCCCTCTATTGTTGCAAGCAAAGTCTAGATGCTTGGGTGGATCGAGAACAGTTTGCAGGATGGAGAAAATCAACGGAACGGGCCTGAAAAAATAGGCAATTCTCTTCATGTCAATTTCTTCACAGACGTACATACACAATTTAGAAGCTTCCCTCCCCAGTTCTCCTAGACCTTTTCCAAAGATGTTCCCCTGTAATTAGCGATTTCCTATGCCCATCCGGCTACCACAATCTCTTCCACTGGATCCTAACATCACGGTCGGGAGGCACGGCCGCATTCAGGAAGTACTTCTCGTTATCCTTCGCGTGCCGGTCAGACTTCCTTCCGTCCATGTAGGTCCATTCCAAGATTTCCATGTCGAACCGTGTAACTAGAGTCGCGACCGTGAGCAGAATCTCCTGCTTAGCAAAGTGACGTCCTGGACACATCGAGACCCCTCCACCTACTCAAAGCTCAGTACTATCCCGTTTGTCTCAAGGAGAGGGATTACCTACCAAACGGAAAGAAGTCACTTGGCTTTCCTGCCATGACAAATATCTTCTCTGCCTTCACCTCGCCTATGGTTTCATCAACTTTCGGGACGTACCTGACGTGACGCTCGGCCCAGAACTCCGATGCAGGATGGCCATTTCTAGCCCACACGTCGTCATCCTGGTGTCCAAGGTTCGTTGGTGCCTGGATTAGAGACCCTTTCTTCAAGCGGTAGCCGTCCAAGATTGTGTCTTCCATGATCTCGCGGGTGATCCCGATGGATACATGTAACCGCATGCACTCGATGTAGATTGATTGCAACAATGGCGACGAAACTAGCTTCTGGCTGTCGAATCCTCGCTTCCCGGTTTCGGGATCAATCAACAGCGCCTCAGAAGCCTCGGCACGGACTGCGTCAAAAAGACTCGGATCTTTAAGAAGTTCCATGATGAACCACGTTGTTACGGGCACAGTGTTCGAATTGACCCTGCGATGTATCAGTTCAAATGTCATATAGCATATGCTAGAAGGAAACGTACGCAAAGATCGACATCGCAAGAAACCCTGCACGTGTTCGCATCGTCATGTTCTGGTCATAAGTCCACTTCTGAAGATCGCGCGAGTAGCCGCAGCCGAAAGTCGGTTCCCAATACGTATCTGTGCCCAGTTCATTCCAATCAAACTTGTCAAACTCCTGATTCAGGAACTTCTCCGTCATCGCGAGGAGCTTGTCTCGCTCTCGAGGCGGCTTCGGGTTGATCCATTGCGGGAGGCCGTTAAGAACCTGGTGAGAAACGCCGTCAAACTTCCAGAACTGGTCGATGAATCCCGGGTTGATCTCCAAGAGTCTAGTGCCGGCGAGTGACTTGACCGCACTTTCTGCCATGTCTTTTCTCAGGTACTCAAATACCCGAACCGTTGACCACTCTCCCAATGGCTGTTTCTCCAAAGCCTCGCTCAGGAAGTCGATATACTTACTGGCCAGCTGGGACGTGTTCTCAATGATGGAAAGGTTCTTTGTGGTAATTTGATGTAAAGTGTGCCAGTAGCGCTGGTCCTCGGGCACGTTCTCAAATCCCGCCTCTGGGGTCTTCAGTCGGCCCGTTTTGTCATTGGCAAACCTGGCGACGTCTTGTTCTGGTGACCCCTGAAGCTTTTTCAACACCATGATCACAAATTTGTCAGAGCTCATGGCGGTCGACTTTCGGAACATTGCTTGGACTTGCTGGCCTCCCTTGATGAGATACACGCGTACCGGTCCAAGACGAAGTTTGACGATATTCTTGGATCTTAAAGCTTGGCTGCGCCTCATTAGACGTCTCCCCGATCGTGAATCGAGTGGTTATGATACCTTGCGCGTTGCATAAACGCCCTGGAGTTCGTCATGTACTGGAATGTGTTGCTCACGAAGGGGATAGTCTCAGCCATCGACGGCGGGTCATCTTTGCTATCGGAACGTACAGTCAGGAAAATCAACGGTAGGAGAATGATCAAACCGGCGAGAACCAAGTGGTTCATAGCCAAATTTGGCAGGACTTCGGACGACATCGTGATCGGGCCGTACGTGGTTCTTTCTGGATTTCAATGTTTCCATGATTCGTGCGGGGTAAACAGATTTACAGCCATGTCTCAAATACGGATACGATAATTAGCGAAAGTCTGGGTTACACAGCGTATCACCTGATGTGCCGTGGTTAGCGAAAACCTACGACTATAGTAGCTGTTGTTAATTAATTAGCCGCTACAAGTCGTCGGGTAGCGGCAAAATAGATCAGCTTGCCACATTCTCAGCAGTGAGGCACAATCAGTGACACTTTCGACGGCTGAGCTGAAGATATTGCACGCGTCTCTCCGCAAACAAATCCTTAATGTTCAATGCACAAAATTGTCAAAAATGTACCACATCTCCCCGAGGTGGGCTCGAACCACCAACCTCCAGATGACCATCTTAGTTGTCGTGAACAACCAATTCCGATCGTAACAGTCTGACGCGCTAGCCAATTGTGCCATCGGAGATTAGGTAATGCGATGCTTGACGATGGAGTCAATTGTCGGCTGCGATATGGATCCAATTGAATGGAGTGGAGCGAAGCTGATGGGGCGTCTGTCACAGACGTCTACCGATCTGTTGGGCGGCACAGACCGCAAGTCAAAGAAGGGCACAAAAGCGGTGCGCTATGAGTAGGTCTAAATCGTATGAGAAATATATGAGGTTGAAGCAAAAAGGAAGTGCGTGTCAATTTATTGCACTACCAAGTCAGTCAGTGGATTGAATCGTCACAGACGCCTTGTCTTCCCGAATGAAAGCTCTTAAAGTATGGCTACTTGTAAAGATAAAAGCAAGAAAATCACAAAGAAGTTGAAGAAGAGCTGCTGTGCCGGTTGATGTTGCGTACAGCGCTCAGGTTGAAAAACTCGGAGACTTAACGATACTTTTACCTCAAAGATAGTCTAGCCGACTCGAAGTACACCAGAGGCATTTGATGTGTCTGATGCGAGTATTTTGAGCATTATTGTAAGAATATGTGGAAACGACAAGCTAAGATTTATGGGCAAACAAATTGCCAAGCCATGCTGAGTTGAAGTTAAAACCTGACCATATCAGCCGGCCTCTAAAACAATGCTCCATCACCATGATCCTTTCCAGCTCAAGGAAGCGTCATCTGTTATGGCGCCAAGACTGCATCCAATCAGGGTTGATCGCGAAATACTTGCCGAGCAGATCCTGCGCGAAGGCGCAGTCTTACTTGCATAAGCGTGCTTCCTGCTTAAATCATTGGACCAGTGAAAAGTCGGGCGGAACCCGTCCCACAATGAATCCTCCAACTTGCAAAACGTCTTCAACATTGCAAAAGTGATCTATCTGATGTTCGCATCGAGTTGCATCGCAAGATTGGTTCGACGCAAACAGGTTCGACAGATTTCAATCGTAAGGAAAGCGATGTATCACTACGAGCCACTACCATCGCCGCAGTTCATCCGGCTGGTGAACATCATCCGCGACGACTACAGCCAGTATGGGTTCTCTGTCCGTTTGACGACTCACTCCCTCCACGACTTACCGCCATTTTGGGCGCTCTCATACACATGGGGTTCTCCGGATTTTCAAAGCGACGACCCCCAGGATGAGAACGCGGAGGGAAAGCGTTTCAGCATCAAGTGCGATGGGGATGATATGGAGATCGGCGAAAGCCTCTACGACTTCCTGCGACACACGAACGAAGAAATGTTTGCTGCATCAAATCCCTCTGGTCCCCAAACGTATTCGAGGCCTTCCATAAACTCTCGGCGCTTGGTCTTTCCGGAGAGGCACTTCAACTTCTGGGTCGACGCTATCTGCATCGATCAGCAAAACGACAACGAGAGGTCAGATCAAGTGCAGCTGATGGGAAAGATCTATCAATCCGCAAGTCGCGTCGTTGCGTGGCTTGGAAATACGGAGCCTAACGATAATGTCAACTGGGTCATCAACAGCTTTGCGCCAATGATGCTTCATGTGTCACGATCTTCGTCAAGACCTAAAGTCATCCAGCTGTGCCAGGATACCGGTCACGAACTGAATCATCCCAAATCCGAGGAGCTGATAGGTGCAGGGGTGTGTGCGCGCTGGCGTCGGTCATATGCGGACTTCTTTTCGTTCTTTGTGAAGAAAAGATGGCTGACCAGGGGATGGGTCGTCCAAGAGGCGGCAATACCAGAGCCGCACACTGTGGTCTTGTTGTGCGGCAGAAGTCAGTTCTCGTGGACAAGCATCAACAACTTCGCCTCGTTCATTCTTAACGTTGGCTGGGACGACACACTGGAGGCAAGTCTTACTGAATCTCTACCAGAATGGAAGGCGAGAAAAGGGACCATCGATCGTCTCTGGAACCCCGTTTCAACGTCCCTACCAGACTTCCAAGAAGAGACCATCAATGATAGCATGGTCGACTGGCAAAACAGGCGCTGGGGCGCGGTCACTGATGAGGAGGTGCGGCATGCGGAAGTCTTGCACAACTTTCACCGACTACGATTCTATGAGTTTCAAAACCCGCTGGATCACATCTACGGCACCCTGGGCTTGATGCCCCTGATTCTTGGACCAAAGTACTCTCTAGGGGTGACCCCGAGCTACGATATCTCCGTGGAGCAAGCTTTCACCGACGTCGCGACGTGGCTGATCCCACACCTACCCAACTTGGATATCCTAGGTCTGGCAGGCCTTGCCTTAGGAAGAAGCGGTGCCTTGCCGTCATGGGTGCCCGACTTCTCTTTTCATGGCCCGGCGTGTCACACGTCTTTGCAGAGGGCGCGCCAGATAAGGATGAAGTACGCTCGCTGGTACGGACCGCTCGACGCCACACGCACGACAAGCCTCTTCGAATCCCCGAAACCATTCGCTCGTATCGAGGGATCTAGACTGAGACTCGAAGGCAGTCGCATCGATAACATCAAGAAGATACACAAGCTACATCACGATGACCAGGGAGTCCTTTGGAACGTCTCCTGGATCTTGGACTTTTGCAATCGGAATGTCGCCTACATTACTGGAAGCGACTCGCTAGCTGAGGCCGTCGTGCATACACTTAGCGCAGACATTAGGCCAAGAGTCATATTGAAAAAGGACTACAAAGAGCGAAGTGAGGATTGGGTTAGGGACTGCATAACATATAATTGGCTGCTAAGTCAAGATAGTAAGAAACCGGTTCTCCCCGCGGGAGTTAGGAATAGAAACCGGAGGAAACCTTTCATGACCGTAGACGACGCTCTGGAGAGGGGTTCTCAGGATGGTTTCCGCTCTAGCCTGATTGACAATCACATCACTAAAGTCATTGATTTTGTCACACCCGGACGGCAGGTTGTAATCACTGAAGGAGGCTTCCTGGGCCTCGGGCGTGCCGAGACGCAGGTTGGAGATGAAATTTGGCTGATGCGAGGTGGAAGGATGCCGTTGATTTTAAGAAAGTCAGGCAGGACGGGTGGAGTTGGTGAGGATTACCTCCTGGTAGGGGAAGCATATATCCACGGGATCATGCATGGAGAGATGATGAATGACAGGCTGAGACAGAGTTTCCAGGAGGTTGTGATTGTCTAGATAAACCTCCAAGAACTTATATGCAGCGACAGAAATGTTTTTTCACATCCCCCTTCATGCCAAGGATGTTCAAGAACCCCGCTATCGGATGGGTATTTGTTGAAAGCGCGGACATCACTCAAAATAGTCCGCGTCTACATTTGGGCAAAACATGCAACCCACGTTACCCAAAATAGGTGGCTTGAGGTCAGCCCCAGGCCACACAATAAACTGCTTCGGTGTCATGCGGCGGTTCTTTTCACAGAGTGACGTTCTGCCAGAGAAGAGGTCAGTTCAAAGTACGATTGACCAGCTTTGATTACTCACCGGTAAAACCAACACTCGGCACCTTGTCTCATCCGGACTGATTTAGTCTCCGTTTGCCACTCGGACGCCATAATCACGAACTCGTCTGGGGGATAGCAATGAGTGATGCATTTCCCTCTGTACTTGGGTTCTTTGCAGAATGAAACGTAATGGCATTTTCCTTCCTCGCGTTTCCCGGTGGTTTCGTTTCCATGAAGCTTTCCAAGCGCCGTGCCCGTTTCGGTAAGTTGCTGGGAGTCGGACGAGTAAACTGGGGCGAAGATAGTATAATCTGTCAAGGGTTTGGCGTTGACCCTGAAGATAAGGGTAATTATCGTCAAAAGTCGCATGAGCGTCGACAGCATCGTCAATGGCGCGCAATTGTCGTGATGCGAGAGGCATCACTTTCAGGGTCTGCGCTGAAAAATGTCCTTAGAGTGCGAGAGTCTTTATACTCCGCAACTACATGCGTCGAAACCAGTGATGCAAGGGCGTTTAGCTTGGATCAAAGAACGAGGAATGTACTGTTTCACTGCATGCTGGCCGTTACTCAAACAGGACTTGACCAATGGTTCAATGAATCATCCTGTTAACTGGCAAGCCTTGTTTGTACTCGAACTCACACAGCTAGTCTCAGCAGAACGACTGACCCAGGCCTTGATGGTTCTTGGTATAATTACTTGGAATAGATAGGCCTTACTCCTGTTGTTTGAAATTCGAGGTAAAAAAGTCACGGCCACAATTCAAATCGAGACGCGGAGTGAAGTCGGAGTCATGAGCAACCTGGCGAATGGACCATCGCTCCATCACGTAACAATTTTTGACTTGATTGGGACCAAAACAAAGCAGTGGCTTTGGCTCAAGTTGTACGTTTGCGGCACGGTAGTTCAGGCACACAACCATGGACATGACTGAGTTGCAGTTGCTTGGCAGGAGTTGCAAGATGAAGAGCCACAGTTGAGAATAGCGCCGAAATGAGTTGGTTGGGCAAGTTGCAACAGTGAGCCTTGAATGTCGCTTTGGGGGCCAATTTCGCAGGTCATAATAGAGATTGAGGCAGCCTACCCCAGATTTTCGGCCCTGTAAGCCGAGAGTCGCTTCTAAGACGGGGCCACAAACGGAGCTGCTAATCTTTTGACATCGGCTGAAGCCCAGCTTGGCCCGACATGAGTCTTGTTTGGCTATCGGGAAACGAATGAATCAAGTTTCACTGTCATTCGTATCAGTGGCAGTTGACTGTTGTTTTTTGCCGCAAGTCAATCATCTGGTTGACGGATTTCATCCCGTCGGCAAAATGTCACCTCTGCCAAGCCGGAGTCATGGCAAGTCATCAGCGCCGGGTTGAATTGGGCCCCGCCGCACCCGCGACGATGTTCTGCGACGCGCCCACGAGACGATCAGGAGACGAAATGACACCGGATGCGCGTGGCGGGGTCTCGACTTCTCAATTGCTGGCTCGCGCGGCAAAAACACCAGCAAACGTCGATGATTTCCCCCTCTTTACGGCGACCTGCTCATCTCCAATTTCCTTCTCTGCGGGGACCTTTTGCCATTTGCCATTGTTTCCCGGCTCGTCGAGTAAGATGGCTGCAAATCCGTACTGTTTGTACGGACATCGAAATGAGGCGCTCTGCTATTGCTCAATGGGCGATGCCCC